AGTGATGACCATCATACAGGTTTTTTATACATTTTGTTTTTAAAATCATTTTTGCTTTTACTCAAATATGCTCTGAAATAGAAACTGGATTACTGGAAGTCTAGTATTTACATGTTGACAGACAGACAGAAGATATGCCATATGAATTTATTCAAACTGTATTGTAGTTTAGGCTTGAAAATTCTCCTTGTATTCTAACATCTCTGCAATAATCCATCATATTCATAGATTAGTGATAACATTTAAGAACTGCAAGTTAGTGGTAACTTGTAGTTCTTAAATGTTCATAATTCTTTGTGTTAAAAGAAATCCTCTTAAACATTTTTTTTAGTTGAATTTCAATGTGTGTCTTAAAGATGTAATATCATAAATGAATGTGTTGGATACTCAATGACAGAGCACTTGTTATGTAAAATCAAGTCGGTTTCAAAATAAAGCATTTCTTGTGGGTACTTCAAAAGTTAGGTTCTAGAGCAAGGTAAAGATCAATGGAAATATGCCACAAGAGATCTCAGCACATTTTCACAGGCCACTAAATGTGAGAGGTAAGCATTTGAGGCAAGTCATTTTCAGCTTATGATTTTACATTTATTTAGATATATATATATATTTTTTTGAGAGCTGTGGAAAGCTGCAAAAGTGCCATATCCCATTAGCTGTATGATACTTCAAATCTGTTAAGGGTTCTCTTGTCATCTACATTACAGGCACATCCATTGATTCACCACTGTGTAGGTTTTAAAATATTTAATAAAAACCTGCTTTAAAAAGATTCAGATGCCTGAATTACAATTATGATTTATAAAATGCTTGACACTTAAGTTATCGTCTGACTGAAGAAAAGTCTGCTGTTCAGAGATGAAAGTATCACAAAGGATGAAAGAGATCTACCACACATTCTAATAATTATAGGCACGTTTCAAAAAGAAAGAAACCCAATATTTTGTAAAGGTGACACAAAATGACACATAACCATTTCAAGGAGGACCCACTACTGACAGTAGATTTCTGTCAGTTTTAAACAAGTTAATAGAAACAGATTAAATAGTGTGAACCCTATTTAACAAGGCGGTAATAATAGTGGTAATTGTCCATTTCTTAAGGTGTGTTGTTAACATTCTGTTCTCTCTGAAATTGTTTACAGTGTGTGTTTGTGTTGTATGAGGTCTCAACAGTAATTCACAAAGACCTTAGGAAAATGACAAAACCTTTTATTGTAATAGGTGCACTGATATACTGTATTATTGAATAGATGTGACAGAGGTAAATTCATTATTCTGATTATTTGTCTTCATAAGGATTGATCAACAGGGAAACTGTGATCAACTGTGAAAGCCACAGGCTAGTAGCATGTGTGATCACCATTGGAAGCTCTACTAATTACACTTCTTTGCACTAGATAGCAGAAGACTGTTTTGTAGGATTAATATAGTGCCATTCAGGAATTCAGGTTGCTCTCATTCACTGCAAGTGGAGTTTTGTTGCAACTAAACACTCTTGACCAGTTTTCTCGTGATAAGCAGGGCACACTGGTTTCTTCTTGTCTTTTGATTTTTACCAGGCTGACATTCAACGGGTTAAATCCCTTTATTTCCTGTGCCCAATCAATTCTCTTATCTGATTAGGCGATTTACTGCTTACGCAAGTCACTAAAATGTTTCACAGTCTGTAATGCATGAAAATTAATAATAAATAATACCAAAATATTGAATCAATATCCAAATTTTATAAACATATAAAATATATTTTTCTAAAATGATGCCATGTAGAGTGCGTTTTTTTATATTCAGCATATACCATTTCCTAAGTCTCAACCATTTAAATTAAAAATGAAAGAAAACCACATTATATATTTTGTTGGGAGCCCTGTGTCCAAATAGAAAAATGCTTTTTGTCTGCTACCCATCTCCAATTAAGATGGGAAGAATTGATTTTGACAGGATGCTTTTCATGGCAAGAAGCAGCTTTGTTAAAAAAAAAAATTGTATTCCATCTCAAATCATCCTTGAAGGCAAGGAAAGTCAAGTAAAGCAGCCTCTAGAAGGGGCTGGCTGAAGTAGCTTAATTTTAATCCAGAGACAGTATAAATCTTGCAACCACTTCCTGTAAGTGATTTTCAAATCAATCATTGGAGCACTATAGAACAATGAACGATAGCATCACATTAAATTCGCTCTGAGGAAAGGCAAACATCACCAATGTAAGATAAGGTTAACTTCTCTTTTCCTCTCCTCAGGTACTTAGCAATCATACTATCTGAACCATTTTTATTCAACTGAGTATTCACATTATGTTATCATGGGAATAAGATTTCTTATTTCACCCCCCTGTCCTTGCAAGATAAGGCGTTTGTCTGGATATTTACATAAATGCTTCTCTAGCAAGGGAAGAAATATATTTTTGTGTAACTGTCCAAACCAGAGAACACATTATTCTTACAAATCTGAGCACGTGCCACACCTTACAAATAGTGCCTTTTTTGAAATTATGGCACTATTAACTCTTACTTTTCAGTCAGAGATTTCTGTTCCCAAATTAGAATCAATTTTCAAATATGCAGTGATTACTGCACATACCTTGCTGTCAAAATGTATCTGCTCCCCTGTGGGAGCAAATGTGAGAATCTGACTGCACTTATCTCCTCCAACAACAGTCCAGAATTCAGGCAGAAATGTATGCAATTACTGTGATCAAGATTAAAGGGAAAGGGTCAAGATTGATGGTATGTTACATGTCACGAAAGCCTTTGTGTGTTCTGAACAGGACATATAACTTCACATCTTGGACAAGGTTGTCTGTTAAATAAATAAATTCATGTACTGTAGGTGTTACGGGTCCAAGTATTACAAGTATTTGAGTCACCTAGACTGTAAATAAAGAATCTTTAAAGGGATAGTTAATTTGAGGGCTTTCATTGTCCTCAGGCTCAAGCTCACAGTAAAAATAAATAACCACTTCCAGAACAAACACCTTATTTGTTTCCATTCCTGTGTTTTACTGTTGAGAATGGAAGGAAGGAAACAGGCACTTGGTAACAGGTATTGCCAATAACATTTTTCCTCTGCATCACATGACATTTATTATTACTCTAAACATCTATTTTATTTGTCTGCCCCTTATATATACATTATATATTGACCTAGTTACTGCAGTACAATTTCATCATACCATAACATAAGGTGGTCATATCTGAAGGAAACATTTGAATTATTATGTTATTACGTTTTGTGAAGTGCATGCTGTGTCCTATAGCTCATAACAGTGGCCAATTAATATATGTTGGAGGATTTCCTAATATTTTGACCAGTGAGTCTAAATTACCTTTTTTTTTAAGAATTCTGAGTCAAACTGAAGGCCATATTTCCACTTTACTGTGTATGGAACAATTGGAAAAGTGTGAACTGACATAGCTCATTCCTGAAGATGCTCACATAGTCGGTCAAAGATCCTGCTATGGTAACCAAATGAATTCCAGCTTCACATGCTCAATCCCACAAGACCTGCTCAAGTCTCGACCAATATAAAAAAAGCAGCATAGGCTAGCTCAGAATTGATCTTTTCCAGTTTTTCATTTTATGATTTTGCACATCTAGAATGTATTTCAGGTTCAAAGGAGCAGTTCTATAGTTTTTTGTATGATCTTTAGAATCGGGACTTTGGCACAACATAGTAACACTGTTGTTTCCAGAGATTTCTTTCCTCTGACTGCATTTATACTTCCAGCAAAAGTTCTAAGGTGTGTTTTGCATTGCTTTAATAGAAAATATAGTGTAAAAGACAAGAGGAAAAGCTAGTGCTTATCCCATTGTCACCTAGATCTTTTAAATGCTTTACCTAAAATAACTATGAGGCCTGGCATCAATGCTAAATGACTTAATTAATGAGTTTTCTCTCCATGACTCTGTTGATAGTTCTTTTACTTTTCAAGCTTCTCTGAAGCTAATTGAAAAGCAGCTTTCATTGTTTTATTTGAGAAGGATAAGTAGAACATTGTGAGCCATTGTTTATTAAAAGGAACCTATGAACCTGTATAACTTATTAAACTAATACTAAAGTAATGAAATCAGTCATCTACCTGTAAGCCTTTGTGTAATCCGAGTGGCAAATGTATATGAAGCCTGACAAAATGTTTTGCATTCCTTCCATGATTTTAGGCTTATGCACAGCAGTATGTTACAGCAGTAAGTCTTCAAATGCATTCATGGTGTTCTGCACCATGGCAAAATTTTCATAAAAATTCTTTTAATAATCTGCTTTATATTTAAAAGGTCATTTTTCACATGAATGTTGGCTTGTTTGTGGTGATTTTCTAAACTTTGTACAAAAAACTAGGTTATAAGATACATAGGTTACTTGGAGTAAATTGGTTAAGTTTACGTAAACGAAATTGGTTTTTGAAGGTCCCAATCCAGTTTTAATCAGTACTTTTCCTCTGAGGTGGTAGGCTGGTTTACGTAAAATGAAGGCAATTACCCTACATTAAGAGCATTAATCATACACAAAATGACAGAAACATAGCCACATTTCATGTTAGGTTAGCTTTTAAAAATAATTATACACAGGTGCATAATTCTTTGGGTTCCATTTGGAGTATTATTGATTTGAAAACATTTAGCCAGCATTGGCAGTAACTGATTGTTCTAACATATTGCTATTCAATATTTATAAATTAAGCATGAACTGTCATGTTTTACAGTTGTTGTTTTACATTAATATTTGACAGAAATTTCCTAACACACGTTGAGTGTGAATCCCTAATGTTTTTCAGATTTGTAATGTGGTTAATAACATATTACAGTTACAATAAACATTTGGGGAATGTCATACCACTATATTTATGGCTTTAGACTCTTTTGGTTAATCTTAATTTGTGATGAAGATTTGTTCTCTCAAGATTGACACCAGAAAGTGTCACGATATTAGTTCCCCCTCCTTAAGGGTGCTCCAGCCCTATCACTCAAGACTTTATTCTCTGCACCTGTTCCCTATTCCTAGCCCACCTTAAAAACCAGGCGCTGATGCTCATCCGGGCTTTGCATCTGATTTCCATATCGTGCGAGTCCGGGACCTGGAAGCGCCTGGTCGCGTTAAGGTTTTAATCTCGGTTCCAGTTCCCGTCTGCTGGTTCCGACCCGGCCTTCGTGGTTTTTTAATTCTTGCTCTGATGGATCTCCTGGTTTTGGACTTACCCTTGCGTTTTGGATTTTCCCTAAGGACTACTCTCGGATTGTTCGCCTCGGCCACACCTCCCCGTGCACCAGCGCACCTTGGACACGCCCCCTTGTCTTCAGCCCCGTTTTCCTGCATGACTCCGTCGGACTGCGTCGTCCGCATAGGGTCCGGAAAGAACTGTTCGTTACAGAAAGGTCCTATGTGAGGGAAGAGTAGGAATCATAAAATAATATTCTAGTCATGATACACCAACACACAGGACAGGAAGCAATGAATAACTGAGAGAATGCAAATGTGAATTTCCTATAAAACACCCTTAACTTAACTGTAAATAAAATAGCTGAAAACTTATCTATTTTCAGTCAGTGAAGTTTTATTTTGCACTTGGGCAGGCTGATGTTCCTGCACGTTTTAGTGTTGTGTTACTTTAATAAACACAAATACAGTAGCAGAATTGGCTGTAGTCTGTTTTTAAGCTTTTGGAAGTAATATGCCATACTACAGTTATATATAACTTAAATATGTTATATACTGCATATATGTTTTTGTGATAATGATACTAAAAGATAGGTTTAGAAACATTGTTTTATTGATAGTAAATAGTAACAGTAATGGAAAACTAAGCAGAAAAAAAGTGTCAAAACTGGAAAATGCATAAAAATGGCATTTGCAGTCAATAAAATAGCTAACAGTTTTCCCAGACTGGGGATATTTACACTAGTTACTTTCTTGAGCCAGAAAAGACCACCTCCAGAAAACGACATTGAGCTCTTTTTAAAACCTAACAATAACAACTGACAAACTAAAATCCCAAAGCACTGAGGAATTAATTTAGATGTTCTCTCAGGAAAATGTTTTTTTTCCCTTGCCTGAAATTTAGAATGTGGTATCTTAATGGAAAAGAACTGCATAAAAAAGTTTAGTTCTATTTTAACTTTACAGAGGTGTACAGAAATTTTAGAGTTAATCAAAACAAATCTAAAATGCTGTGGCCACTATACGCCTAGCCTGTACAAGTTTTTTAGCCTTATTAGACACCCGCTGATCGGAGGTGCGTGTGGCATCTTGCTTCAAATTTATTTCAGACAATTCCACCTCCCCCGTCTGTGGGCAGATTTGTCTTTTTACTCAAAAGGCCTGTTAAATATATCTCTTCGTTTTTTCTGTAGCAAGCTCAGCACATAGCTTGGCATACGAGAACACCAACATATTCAAGTTCACAGGTGAAGCATCGTCAAGCGTCCTGACACACACTCTTCACCATCAGCGATGGAGGACGCAGGCTCTGATTAATTACAGCGACAGATTACACAAGTGCTATGCTCCATTGCTCACCATGTTGGCATTAGCAGGAGAAATGCAGCTTTATTGGACTGACTCATTACCCACCCCACTGGGAATAATTAAGAGCCACTGAAACACAGAACCAGTGACACAGCACTGCTCCTACTCCTCCACTGCTGTTGGGTATTAAATGCCACCTCTCAGTTGGACCCCTGCCTCAGCTGGGACTTTGGCATTTGTGGCATGTCATCATCTCCATGCCTGTACTGAGACAGCTCTCCCCTGAGGCACCTGTCACATAATCCCTGCTCTGAGATTGAAGCCCAGGGGTCTGGAGTGTGGTGGATATTTTCTATTGCAAAGTTAACAAACCAATATAATGCTTAAGTAAAGCTGGTTTTCTTGGAAGCTATGGGACAAGCTATTAGCTAATGATAACTGGGATTTGGGCACCTCTCAAGTTTGTGTGTAACTGTGTGTGGGTTGTAAGACTTTGACAGCAACAACAAAATATATATATACACTATTTTAAAACAACATGAACAAAGAAGGCTGACTGTCAGATGTGCAAAGTAAATAAATTAATCATTAAATCAGTTTCCAAATTGTTATTCTTCCTGTGTCATGTTCCTGCTGCCTGTGTACATCTTAAACTGACATTCCAGTAGGGAATAAAGTAGGGATGATGTTCAAAGTTCCATTCTATGATCTTCCTTAAATAACCACCAATTGTGGAAAAGGTATTGAGATCCAGTCTCCTTAAAAATATTTGTGTGTGTAATCTGGAGTTCTAGGTTTTAGTGGTACATTTTCTAGTTATACTAATTACAAGTTACAAAGTTATTGCTGTAACACCCTTTTAACTTGGTTTTCATATACCAAATAGCAGAAAAATGTAAAGAATAGGATAACCAGTCAATTATTAATTATACCCAGAATACCTAGGTTCTTTGTATTCTACAGGTGTTGTACAATTATATTTGTGTTAGACTTCTTCTGGGTTTAATAATCTTGAATTAAATGCACTCAGAAATGTGATGCCACATACATTATAGTAAAGGGCATTGTACATGTTTGATAGAAAGAGTGCCCATGGTACTAATACCCTTGGTATTTTGCATGGCTTTGTAAGAAAACTGACATTTAAAATCTGCTTTTGTACCTCCCCAGTCACAACTGACATATAAATGTGGTTATCTTATGAAAATGCTACGTTGCAATAGTAAGGAAAAGAATTTACAAAGAAAAGAGTTTTGAGTTTTGAAAAGTCTTGCTTGGACATATAAATAAGAATAACACCCTTTCCTGTCAGATCAGGAATTCACATACTTATGTGAAATTAAAATATTTAATAGAACATTCAGTGCTTAAATTGACTACTTGCTGAATTGTCTAGCTGTTCTATATACTGAGTCAGGCTTGATTCCTATCAGATTTTAACTAGACAGATTTGATGACTAGACAGTCGATCTCACTATGTATCAATATGCAAACAAAACCCTGTGTGGTGCAGTTCTTTTTTCCTTTTAAGCTTATTTGATGTTTTTTCAGGGATAAAGGAATATTGCTTGAATGCAGTTCTTTATGAATGTACACACAGAACAAGATTAAAGAGATTGTGCATCTTATAAAAATCTTAAAGTTTGCAAGTGGATCAGTGATTTGAAAGCAGAGGCAAGCAGCTGTCAGATGGTTACTCATTAGTAGCCAGCACCTGTTGTTGAATGCATAAACATAGTTTTATGCGGTTAGTACATTTAAAATATGACCTAGAATTTTCTCCTTTCATCCTTTTTGCCATTTGTGTGCTGTGCAATTAAAATAAATACATCTTACAAAACAAACAAACTGATAACATACTAAGTTAAAAATGAGTACGAATAGCAAGGTCTCAATTTATTCTCGTTTTTGTATGTTTACTGCACGAATCATAAGAATTGTTACATGGCAATTAAGTGCACTGAAGTTTACATTTTCACAGTTACTAATTGAACTCTTGATGGATTAATCAAATGTCAATAAATGGCCCATGAATGTGATTTGAATCACTGGACTCAGAAGTAGTGAAATTCAGCACATAGCTTACTTATTATACTGTCCCAGATGGATAAATTGCTTTTCTGGCAGATAAAATATATAATACAATTAACAAAACATCCTCCATTAAATAGTGTAATGCATGAAGTATGGGCTTATATATAATATGTAGAATGTTTCATCTTCAGTTCACAAAGTCCACAGAAACAGTGCCACCCTAATTTAGCATAAGTTATAGCACTTGGTACAGTGTGATGCTAAAACAAATATCATAATGATTATGTCAATTATCTCATGTGATTATAACATCTTGTGTAGCACTTATGAAGGGATTATGAATCCAGCCATTATGCAGCAACCTTCAAATACAGTCTGGCCTTATGAGTTACATATTTTGACATGAAATGTGGAGACCAAAAACACAATTTTGAACTAAAATAAAATTCAGTATTAATCCTGGAAGCATTTGCATCTTTGTTTTTTATCCTTTTTCATTTGGATGGAATTCAACAGATATCAATACATATGGTATAAGCTTACATACAAGATGCTGTTTGATATCTGAAAAGGCATTCAGCAGAGTATTGCGTGTTTTCTATCCAAATTGATAGTAAATTGCATTGTGCCACTAAACAACCAAGGTCCAAAACTACACTTGCTTCTCGTTAAAACAGGAGCAACTTTTGGTATCTTTTTATCTAAGAGCTATTACAAGAGCTTATGCTGCAAAAACAAAACTAAATTAATTATATCAGTGTAAGAGTTATTAAATGAATACTTTAACCTAGCTGTGCCTAACTGTAAAGTCAGCAGTTATCGTGTTCCTTCTGGAAAAAATAGAACAACCTTTCTTAGAATTATAAACAATTCTAGCTCCAAGTTCCAGGAAATACAAGCTAATAAGATAACACTGGATTGGACCTGTATATCTGATGGATAAACCTCATTGATCATTCCAACACTTCCTCATCCTTCTTCAGAAAACCACAGATTCATTGTACCTACACATTATAGATTCCATATCCATTATGCTTTTATTCTGAGTTGTGTTTGTTCTGAGAGAATATTCTACAATCTTTTTTTTTCTGTAGAATCATTTTAAAGTAACATTTAACAAGGGTTTTAATAAATATGGAGGACACTTAACACATGGTATAAATTAGAGAAGCAGGTATATCCTAAAGAACCAGAGCACTTTTATTTCTCTAGGACTACATAAATGTACTCTATACTCTTTCTGAGATCAGTCACTGCAAGAAAAAGATGAAAGCAAGTGTACCTGACTTAAAGGAATATAATTTCCTTTCACAGTGGTTATGTTTAAAATATGCATACTGTTTCTTTAAGAATAAAGATTTGAATTTCCTCTGGATTAATCTTTTAATGTACTTGAACCATTTTTATATTTGAATCGACTTTAGGCAGTCTTTTCAAAAGATCGTATCAGCTCAGTTTATTTGTACTCTCTACCATGAAGCACTGCTAGTGGGTAGTGATATACTTTCATATAGGTGGTGATATAGCTGTTGTTCAATCTGAATCCATCTGCAAGGAGTATATATTTTTCTGATTTGCTCATGTGGGTTTTCTTTTTGTATTCCAGTATTCCA